CGCCATCTTTCGATACACTTATCCACAATCACAATCTACCTATGTGATTTTATCCTTTTTTTGCTTAATTATGCGATATGGATAATGGATAAATTATGCGTATAATATGCTTTCGCATAATCCTGAACATCCTAATCAGAATCTTGGCGGGTCAAAAATTGTTCTGACCTGGGTCAGTTACTTAGTTTTCTCGGGATTTCCGATGTGGTAAATGAAAGAACTTAAATCACGAGCAAGGTGGAGAAATTCCGATGTGGTAAATGAAAGAACTTAAATCACGAGCAAGGTGGAGAAATTTTTCTGAATTGAAATTCTAAAGTTATTGGCCTTGGCATATATAACTTATTGACCCGGGCTGTAACCCGGGTCAGAAAGATTCAACTCGGGTTTGACCTGGGTCGCTATTTTTCGACCCGGGTAAGTTCCCTAAATTAAATAAAATATAATATAAATGAGTTGTAAATTGCGAAGATATTAATTTTATTCGATATATAGATCGTTATAATATCAAGCATATCTGTTTAATGATATAATTTATTTTTTTTATATTTTTTATAAAATTTTATAGTAAATCTTGTTCTTTAGATAAAGTTTACCATATTGGATATTTAGGAATTTTTTAAAAAATCTGACTTGATAATCAGAATATTTTAATACAAATATTATCAATAATTCAATTACATCTAGCGCATTTAAAACATCTATATTGAAGATTTCATATTGGCGTATAGTTTACGAAGAACCCTTTACTTAGTAAGGGGATACGAAATGTTAACGAAGCGAAAAGTGCAAAGGTGAAACGGAAATTTGTTGGACGACTCACGTGATAAAGCGATCAACCAGAATTATGACGAATATGATAAGTACGTACTGTGATCGCCGATCCCGATTTTATTAAAAGTTTAAAAAGAAAAGTAAGAGATATAAGTGTTCACAAAGCATGTAATAGAAAAATTTAATATAAATAGTGAATGTAAATGAAGAGAATCAGTTAGTATTCTATCTGATAATAGCAGATAAAGTAAACGTAACGTTAAATAATATACTTACGCGTTTAAATTGGTTTAGTTCGTGTGTCTTGTGCCAAGCGAGATTTTAGTTGTTTATAACCGTCAGAACAAGATATCAGTCACTACTGTGATTGTTTAATTCTGAGAAACACATCATACGAAAATTTCAATGATTTCAAAGTCGATGTTTGTTTGTTTGTTCACCTCATCTGGCATGATTAAATTTTCTCAACATTCTAAAAATATATTTTTTATAAAACATTTAAAATTATTAATCAATTGGGGTGAGTTAGTAGAAACGTACCTAAGTAAATTTTTATACTTTGAATAAAAAATAACTCAACAATAGCTTAATAAAATTTAATAAATAATTTCTATAAATTGCAGAATTTATTTTAAAAAATTTCGTACAAAATTTGATAAAGCTATTGCTGAGTAACTTTGTTTAAATGTTCAAAAAGGTTTGATATGTTTTCTATTGGCTCACTCCATTTATTATAATTTATTTAAATATATTTAATAAAAATAAATAGCCATTTTAAACTTATTAACCTATTATTCAATTGTAACTACTTCAACTGTATTGATTTCATTTTTAGTCATATCATTTTTAATATTTTTATCAGTTACTACTTCATTCTGTTGTCTTTTTTTTTCTTTCTGTTACTCTAACCATGTTAGAAATAATCCTTTTCTATATTGATACTGATAAACAACCCATAACTTTGAATATCTATAACCTCTTTTACATAAAACTATTAATACAATTGATAGTGCGATAAATAGATAAATAAAATATGTTATAAGCCACACAAATATTAATAACCATGATAATATAATACGACGCTGGTGGTAAACACACCAATGATCCTGCCATGAGCCTAAAGAGTAATCCTGGTTACATTGGATTATTTGATAATCAGGACCAACAATTTTATCCTTTAAATAAGGGTATGTAGATAGTATACTGAAGAAAGCTCCAAATCTATAATAAAGGCATGTTAGTTTATTTATGCAATAATAATATTTAAAACTTTACACAAAGAATAATAATTATTATTACATATTAAATATAAATGCCCATCCTAAACTACAATTGCAACATGGGAAAGCACTTATGTATATCATCACACAAAAATAAATACAAAATACGAAAGATGCTGAACCAAAAGATGACATATTACTTTAAAATATTTAATGCACTTATTAATAATTTTTTAAAAACAAAAAAAAATAATACAAGAAAAAGTTCTTACTGGTCATATCCATATTTTCCATACAGTTGGGTCTTATTATCAATTTTGTTGCTCAATAATATGTGGTTTGCTTGATAATCTGCTTATTACATAAAATTTAATTAAAAATTAAATTCAAATTAAATTAATTATAAAAAAAAATAACATACCATAAACATTAAAAAATATTAAAGTTATGGTTACAACTATGTTACTAACAATTAGTATCAATGGTGTTATTTCTTCAATTGGTACTTTTTGTAATATTTGAATAAATTCATTACAAAATGATATATTTCTTGATTGACGTGGAATCATCTTTAATATCTTAATGCTGGATTTAGTTAATATAATTATCTAAATCATTATTTTTTTAAAATTTAAGTCCGAATCAGCAATAATAAATAGGTGATATGCCGCGCTAAAGCCGGATAATCCTGTAATTGACGAAAATCATGATCAATATATAATAAAGGGCTTTCATTATATCAACTAAAAAAAGTTATAACCTTACAGTGCGTATGCCTAAAGTTGCTAGCAACCCAAATACGTATTTAGTATTGTACGAATAGATCAGGAACGAAGTATAACAAAGAATATACCAGGAACGGAGTACGAAGTACGTAGAGTACCAGATATAGTTGTAGGCGAAACCTGAAAAAGGAAATTACAACAATACACTTGATTGTTAATTATTGTTATAATTTTCTTTTTGGGTTTCGCCAACAACTATAGTATCTGAACGGAGTACGAAGTATGGATATTCTTTTCGTGGCTTTAACCTGATATTTCTAGATTTGTATACTATGCGAAATTGTGATGAAGTTCTTTATCTAGTTATCTATTTAAATAGAAAGTTACCATTTATTATTGCGCCTTTTGAAATTATGATATCGATATGTGCAGTTCATATCTAATTTTTTCCTGTTTTATTCACGGCTCTGCCTGGATTACTTATCTTGGTTATCAATTTAGTGTATTATATCTCTCATATTTTTTCTATGTTTAAATTTGTTCATACCAGCACGGACATTGAACCGTAAAATTTGTCATCTATATCAAGTTGGATATTATATACTTATAATTTATTTTTGCAAAATTCATTTATTATTTTATCTTATCGATTATGCTAGTACATCTGGCAACTGTGGCGCACCAATTTGATACACATTTCCGGATGCCGAGAAGCAATTGTATAGAAGTTTGCAAAGTTTGATATATAGACTGAAATAAAAGACCAAATTAAAATGGTCGAAAAATAGATTAAGTACAACAAAGATGAGGTTCTTTAATAAAAACAACAATATTTTACATTTATAATAATTTAAGCCAAACTACAGATTTCGTTCTTTGATTACAACTATTTGCTAAAAATTTGTCTCAAAGACTCATTATCAAAGAAATATTTATCAGGATCATACTTTGCCCTAACTTTTTCAAAATCATCTAGACGTTTCCCAACATTCTTACGTATATGCGGAATAATACCAGGTATGTGTTCCCAAAGTTTACCCCAATGTGGTAGAGCATTATATTTCTTCATCCATTTTTCAGCTATTTCAATTGAAAAATCAAGATAATCTCGAGTACCATTAACAGACAAGACCGTAATTGAACAATAATACGCATTTGGGTCTTTATCATATGTCGGAGCAAGCAGGCTTTGGGACGCTTTATTGATTCGAAATTCTGATGAAATATTTAACGGATACTTGTTAACTGCAGCTAATTCATAAACCTAAAAGGCGATAAGAAGAGTTAGGAATGTTTAACATATAGATATTAAGATACATCACATAATGTTTTATAAACATTACCCGTTTAAAAACATGATTTAATGCTTCAATGCAATTTGAAAAATCCTTGATTTGTATAATGTAATTGTTAGTTATCATAATCTCAAATTAAACTTATCCATTCTGTGAATTTCAAGGCACATGCATCAAATTTAACTTTTTATATGACTGACATCCAGTGAATGTTCAATTATCATAAAAAACTTTCAATAAGTGCACGATAATTTATTCCAATATTTAAGCATCTACTTTTGTACTTACATGGTTTGCCTTGAAGCTAAGCTCTTGTTCCATACATTTAAGGTAGTCGATACCAGACTATGAAATTCGATAAAATTAACTACTGTTTAAAAAATATTTTAAATTAATATTTAAGAAACACACCTGATAATGAATCGCATCAGGTGCTTGTAGAATCTTTTCACTTTCATGATCAACACCAACATTAAAAAGAAGATTAGTAATGAATGGGGTAGATTCCGGATGTTTAGCAATGTGTTCATAAAGATGTTCTCCAAATTTGAGTCCATAGTTTTGGAAGGTCTGCGATAATTTCACTTGAAGCTGATTCTCTGTAACATCTTTATCGGTTCTTTGGTAAGTTTTTACCCAAAGCTTATCATTTTTTTCTTGAAGACCAGATGTATTAAATGGCCAGTATAAAATTTCAATACTATCACAATTCATTACGTCATTTTTGAGGTTTTTCGCTTTCCAATAATCAGAAATTTTAGGAAAGTTATCTTTCTCTATCATATTAAACATTGGTTCTACTTTAAAAGTGAGCTTATATATAATTCCTAAGAGACCTTTATCACAGAATCAAATATTTAAAAATTGGATATGGTAAATATATACTCTTATAAAATAAAATAAAAAATTACCAAGACTGATTCTAGCAGCACTCATTTCAACAGGATCTATCTCATCAGAAAACTCATGAAGTTCACCATCGGCTGTTAAAATTTGAAAAGAGATTACTTTTTCCGACATATTTGAAGTGCTGCATCTCATACCATGAGAACCAGTTGATACGACGCCAGAGGTTGTCACAGTGGTCAATACAGTCGAAGAATCAATTGCTAATGGAGGGTCATGTTTCCTTAACTTTTCATCGAGATCTTTAAGATATACACCTATAAAATTCAATCAGATAAATTGAAATATTAAAAAAAGCAGAAATATGCATTAGTTAAACTTTTAAGAATGTTCTCCCTTACCTGCTTCGGTGGTGACCGTCCAAGTTTTCAATTTTTCATTATATTGAATCTCAATATCATTCAAATTAGTAACTATTACCAAATATCCATTAGTAACACTAAGACTACTCCAAGAATGTCCTGCAGCAGCACAACGAATTTTCTTATTATTCTCCTTTGCTTTTTTTACAATTGTTTTTAAATCGTGTAAATTAACAGGTCGAAAAATTTCATCAGGTGTACATTTCTGATTTTCTGCCCAATTATGCCAATCTTTTTCACCAAAATGTTCAACATTGCTTATTACTTTAGTGAAAGTATCTTTTACAGTATCTTTTACAAGAGCCATATTTGATAGTAGTAACTGTGTAGAAATTCTGTTCTTGAAATGTTTTTTTTAAACTTTATGCAGAGTTGGGATTAACCTGCGCCCCTGAAATTAGATCTACACGTATCGGTATTGATCGACAATCTGGGTAACTGTTTGAAATCCGTAAGCAGTTAATCGGCACTTGAAGTAGCTACTCTATTCCAAAATGCATCTGTTCTAACCTAACCTTATCCAAAAATTGATAAATTCATTGCATTTATGGTTAGTCTTTGCTAAAATTTCTTCTAAATGAGGAAGTTAGCTGAAGTGGAATTAGGGTTACTTTGTTGACGCGGATAGTTTGCATTTATATATAAGTAGATATCAAGAATACGTACAACTTGTACATTATCTGTTATGTATATCATATGTTGAATTTATATTAATCCCCCAAAATGGGTTAATTTATTATAATCTTTATTGAGTCTTTTATTCTTAAAATGCTTCTTTTTTTTTTTAGATTCATTTGAGTCTGGATTAAACCCACTAAAATCAGAGTTGAATCCAAAAGCCTTTTTTTATTTGTAGTGGCAGATCCGTAAATAGCTTCATATGCACTTTACGTAGCATATCATGCGTACACTTGTGTAAAGTTTACTATAATTAGTTGGGACAAATTATGTATAGTCAATTGGGGAACGCATTCACTAATAATGCACTAATATTTTGATACTTTTTTTTTTTTTTTTTTTTAGCTTTTTTAGGGTTAAGAGGTCGGCTTTAATGGTAGAATTCACATCCGTATATTTAATCGACAATCATTTTACCTAAGCGACATCAAAATAAAGTGACAATTTGCAAATTATATATTCTAAAACTAATAACATGCAGATTGTCACTCTGAGTCGTTAAATGATCTGAATGACTATCGTTGAAGTGACTGCCACCGGTAAAATTTATAATAAATAATAATAAGTACAGATGGGTTTTACGATCTGCGACATTAATTGCTAAATGGATAAATCTATGGATTAACGTTGGGGTGTCCAATGTACTATGTAGATCAAATATATGCGTAGTATCATAGTAAAAATAACTAGTAAATTTTTTTCGTGTAACAATCACGATGATCTATAGTAAAATGCTATAAATCTTTTATTTTAAAATATAGGTTCTGTTGAGCAATCGTGTAAATTTTTTAAGCTAATTATTATGTAATTTACAGAGG